GGAGGGGGCGAGGCACAATAGGAAGAGGGCAGCTACTATACATAATAACTGCTGAGGTAGTGGGAGACCTATCATTTATAACTTTGTAATTATAGTCAGTAGAGATAAAATAAATGTTATACCAGCAAAATTGAGTGAACTCAGGTTTTTAAAAGCTGTTATGTAATCATGGTATTAAAAAATGTTATATCAGTGGATCTTATAAATAGTAATTTTTGGAATTTTGATTTGTATAACTCAGGATAAAAGAAACTTTTGTGTGTGAAGAATAAAATAGCAAAATAAAACAAGAATGAATATAAAGTTAGTGTAGATTATTTTTAATCTTTGGAGGGAGGAGAGTGTTTTAAACAGTTTGACCCTTTATTTGTTTTTATAATTGATGTGGTCCTTTGCTTTTCATTTTACTTGAAAATGACATATGGATGAGGGAAGTAATGAAACAACATGCTTTTTTTTTTTAAATCCTCGAGTTTTAAATCAGCAGCACCTTTTGGCCTAGTGAAGCCATGGTTTTGTCCATTGGAGTGAGTCACTAATCACCCCCTTTCCAGTACCCACCTCTGTGGGCAGCAAAAGCCACCTAACGTTTACCATTTCGCTTGTGCAGAGTCAGACATGGGGCTATGAAGTAAGACGGAAGCATGAAGTTCTGTTCCCACGGTGTGCTTGTGATCTTGATATGTTCTTTCTTAAGAGTACGAGGAAAAAGAAGCAACTGTATGCAAAGTTGTACATGGTCATGAAGGGATCCTTGTTTATGATAGAATTTGTGATACAACACATTCCAAGCACAGGTGTAAAATCAAAAGTATATTGTACACATATTTTAAATCACTATTTAAAAAGCTAGCCAGGTGTGATTACATATGCTTGTACTCCCAGTACTTGGGAGACTGAGGCAGGAGGATCACCACAAGTTGGAGGCCAGCCTAGGCTACATCGTGAGTTCAAGGCCAGCCAGAACTATATAGCAAGACTCTGTCTCAAAAAAGCAAAAGAAGAAATAAAGAAGGAGGGGAGGAAGGAAAAGAAGAGCTTGTGGAAACATTTGATCATCTTCAGACTCTGAAAATTTCAAAGTTTGAAAATTTTCCAGTTTACAGAAAAATTGAAGGAATAGCTCAGTGGTAATCGGAAAATACATGCTGTCTGTGCCCACTAATGCAGATGGAGGTGTAATTAAGAATTCTTATTATTAATCTCTTTTTTTTTCAGAAAAAATATGTTCTAAAAAGTTATAAAATTTTTTTTTACTCAGCGATAAAGAGAATGAAATCATGTCATTTGTAGGAAATGGATAGAACTAGAAACCATCATGTTAAGTGAAAGTTAAATATCACGTTTGAGAAGTTAAATAAATAAATAAAGGAGAGGCAGCAGGAAAGCAGGAGGTGGACTTTTGGAGATCAAGAAGGACGTCACCCAGAGAGGGTAGAAAGGGAAAGGGTGTGGGTGGGGTTGAAAGTGATTGGGATATGTTAAATGCACCTACCAACATCCCAAAACAACCCCCACCATTCTGTAATATTAACATGTACTAATAAAAAATTTAAAATGAAACAGAATATTTTAAGGTTTTATTTATATTGACCTTATGTGCCTTATTTTTTATAAAGGGACTCTATTATTCTTATTTCAAGACCCTTATTGAAGCACCTTCATTTTTGGAAGGCCTGTGGATGATTATGAATGACAGGCTTACTGAGTATCCCCTTGTAATTAATACAGTGAAACGATTCCATCTTTATCCAGAGGTGAGTGCTACTTGAGTCAAATAGTACTTGTAATGTGCTTCTTTCTTAATCAGATAAAGGCACTAAGTATAATGATGCTAATAAAAGGGAGGGGACCTATTAGGTTGATTGTATTAGTTATACTTCCTTGTATAGTTGAATAGAGTATCGAAAGTTCCTTTCTTAATATACAAAGGTCCCAGTAGCAATGTTCATGTGAACTTAAAGAATAAAGGGTAGTATGGGAGATGTGGCCAGGTAATAAACCAGCCAAATGAGAAAGTGAGTCATGAGCGCTGGAGAGGGCTCTCCATGGGTCGGTGGGGCTTGGATAGCATGTGGGTGGGCACGGTGACCGCATGAAGGGCCAGGGAAGTGATGAGCAGGACTCTGCCTACAGCAACAGTTCATTAGTGAAGGAAGGTTTAAGGGCTGGAGGTGTAGCTCAGGGGTAGAGGTTTGATCTGATGCACTGGTGGACGAAAAAAAGATTTATTTAGTCACATAGCCAGAAATCTCTGGGTATCTTCTAGTGCTTGGCCTTAAAATTTTTTAAATTTAGTATGGCTTTTATGGGAATCTGAATGGCAAGGGCTAAAGAAAATTAGACAACAGAGACTTGCGGAATTTCAAAGTATATGGGGGCAGGGAGGTCATTGCCTCAGAGTGGGCAAAGACAAGGATTCTCCAAGCTAGCCATCATTTATTGGGTACACACAATAATTGGGTGAATTAGGAGGCAGCAGTGATTCTATGTCAATGGGGATCTCATGCTGAAGAGAGTGGAAAGACAGCATTCCTGCAACAGCAGGCGGGATGAGTTAAGCTGGTAAGGAATTTGTCCCTCCCCAGGTGAGACCTTTCTCTTTTTGTATTACTACTCGGTTCTCCAAGAACCAGGATGTCTTCAGCTGATGAAATCTTGCCCTTGAGCGCCATAGCATCACGGGACCATTGAGACCTCAGCTGTGACTGGAGGAGACAAACAGTTGTTTCCGCGTGCGGTAGCTAGCTCCAGGGCAAGGCCACATTGGGCTTTAGACAACTATAGTTATACTTTAATTATGAAGTGATTTTTCCCAAAAATTTATGTAGAATGGCTCTTGACATGAAAAACAACTATGATTTAGTAAAAATTTGTAGACTCTTTAAAATAAATACTGAATTTGAGATGGTAAACGCTGATTTTGAGCTTCAAGTTATCCCAGAGTATGGTAGTTTGATTAAAAATTACTATTTTTTAGTCCTTTCTTCATATTTAATAGGTTTTTAATTTGTTATTTCTATTTTGCAATGTTTAAGATTATAGAGATTTACAGAGTAATACTTAACTATGTATTAGCATAAGAAAATGCTAATCTTTTGTAATTTTGGCTCTAGATTTTTAAAATAACTTAAACATTTAAGTAACATCAAAATCACCACTGTTTTGCTTCTAGACCCATTCGCTTCTTTCCTCTTCCCATAAGATCCCTATTACAAATATGAGCAGATTCATCTGATCCATTTCAAGCATGGTTTTACATGTTTTAAGTCCACATAAATGCTCTCATACTGAATATTCCCCTCTACAACATTTTCCTCAGCATCATATTTTTGAACTCAGTGTATGTATGGTCTTTCAACTATTTAATTAATTCCAAATTTTATTTCAATATTTCTCTATTTGTAAACACCAAGTGATTTCTAATCTTCCTATTACCAACAGTTCTAAATGTAGGCTCCTGTAGGTGCTTCATCCTGTGCATGGCAGGATTTTCTCTAGGCCAAGTACCCAGAGGTGCAGCTGTGTGCAGAACCGTGAGCCTTTGTCAGCCTTGCCAGATGTTGGTAAATTGGTGTCTCCAGCAACCACACTCCTGTGTAGGAGAATTCTCCTTTCTCATTTCCTTATTAGTTCTGAAATCATGAAATGGCAGCTGGGATGTGCTTTCTGTTTTAGTTTGTATTTCCTTCATTATTCATGCAGCTAAACATATCATCATGTTGAGTAGATAATTTGGATTTTTTTCTACCAATAACCTATATAAATTTTTGTCATCTATTCAGTAGTAGTCTTCTTATTGATTTGTTAGCATAGTTGCTATACTTTGTGTAGTTATCGTTAGTAATCTGTATTGAGCATGTCTTTTTACTCTGATCTTTTTCTTTTTACCCATTCAACTCTCTTGAGGTATAACTTACATGCAATAAAGTGCACTCATTTTGAGTGTGCAGTTCTTGAGTTGTAACAAGGGTGTGGCAGTATATAACCATCACCACAGTCTAGTTACGAAGCATTTTCATAATGCCAAAAAGTTCTTGTGCGTTCCATCATGGTAACTGTTTTTCTCCTTTGCACTGTCTTGGCACATTTGTTGAAAATTGATTGACCGTATTATGCATGGATCCATTTCAGGACTCTATATTGTTCTAGTAATCTGTATGTCTGTATTGATGCACAAACTGTGCCTTCTTTATTAATGTAGATTTTGAAGGAAAGTAGTTTTCCAATTTTGTTTTTCCTTCTCAAAATTGCATTTTTATATACATATGAGAGTCAGATTCTCAGTTTCTCCAAAAAACTTTGCTAGCATCTTTAGACTACCTTGAATTTATAAATGTATTTAGGAAGATTTGACATCTTAATGATATTAAACTTTACAGTCTGTGATCATGATACAGATCTTCATTTTGTTGATTGTTTTAATTTTTCTCATCAGTGTTTTGTATTTTTCAATGTACAGTTATCCCTAAGTACTTAAAAAATACTTTATAAATGGTATTATTTCAAAACATTTTTATGTTTCCTTTCCTGTTGTTTTTGTACAGTATAGTTGGTTTTGAATATTCGCTTTGTACCTGCATCCTGACAAACTGATTCAGTGGTTTAAATAGCTTTTTAGTAGATTCTTTTTTTATATGATGATATTGCCCATAAACAAAGACAGTTTTACTCCTTAGTTTCCAATCCATATACTTGAAAACATTTTAAAACAGCTTTATTGGGGTATAATTGGCTTACCATAGCTGGTCGTGGATGAAGTATACGGTTTGATACGATTTGGCCCCAGCCCCGACCTGTGAAGCTGTACTGCAACCCAGACTTGGCTTGTTCTTCATACCTGGAGTTCCCTTGCACTCCATGGAATCTCTTCTTCCTGCTCCCCTCTGCCACATCCCATCCCCGGGAAACCACCACTCTGCTTTCCGTCACTATCCTCCAGTTCGCATG